CTTGTGTCCCGGCCCGGCCTCCCTCGCCTGCCCGCCGCCGGCCCACCGCCGCCCGCGCCTCCTCCTTCCCCCCGCAGTGGAGACCCAGCGGAGCCCCCGCGGAGCCGACGCACCGCCGCCGGGCAGGGGCCGGCGAGGAGGGCGGGGGCAGGGTTCGCCCTCGGTCTTAGCCTCGCTCCGGTCCCTCCCCGGAGTGGCTGCCAATCAACGGAGCGAGAAGCCGGGTTGGCGGAGCGGAGGCTGTTGCCCAGGAGCCGCCGCTCCGCCCCTCCGCCTCCTACACCCCGCCTGCCCTCCCAGGGGACTTGAGTAGGGGCGCAGCGTGGGAAAGGGATGGTTGAATTTTAACCGGAGGCAGAGCGTGAGCGGGATCAGTGTGTGCGGAACGCGAGCCCCCGAGCGCGGAGAGGCGCCGCTGCTGTTAACTCCTCCCTGCCCGCCGCGCCGAACCGACCCTCCCCCGGAGTCCCCGCGCAACCAACATGAAGCGAGCCCACCCCGAGTACAGCTCTTCGGATAGCGAGCTGGACGAGACCATCGAAGTGGAAAAGGAGAGTGCGGATGAGAATGGGTGAGTTGGCGGCGGCAGAGCGGAACCCGGGCAGGAGGCGAGCGCCGGCTGGCCACGGTTGACAGCGGGCGAGGGCCCCGGGCACGTCTGTGCCCTCCACTGACCTCTGCGCATCTGGGTTATGCCCCTGTCCGGGGTGAGGGACGCCGGAGGCCCTTTCAAACCCAAGTTGCCAAAACAATCTGAGTGCGGGGAGGATGAGGGGGACCCCTCATATCACCTCCCCTGGCTTACAGCGATTCCTGTTTTTTCCCCCCATTCAGAAACTTGAGTTCGGCTCTCGGTTCTATGTCCCCAACTACATCTTCACAGATCTTGGCCAGGAAAAGACGAAGAGGCGTGAGTCTCATTACAGTGCTTCTTGTTTTGTTTTGTTTTGTTTTGTTATTAATTAATGGAAAGAACTACCTTTCTTCATTTTTGAAATTTACAGTCTTGATGGAAATACCCTCCTTTGTTTTGCCTGCTTTCTGCAGATCATTGAGAAACGCCGACGGGACCGGATTAATAACAGTTTGTCTGAGCTGAGGAGGCTGGTGCCTAGTGCTTTTGAGAAGCAGGTAATGGAGACAGTGGGTAGAGCTCTCCGTGTAGCCATCCACACCTTCTGAATCCCTCCCCTCATTAATCTGAACCTCATCCGTGTCTCGAAAAATAACCGTATTGCTTTTGCGGAAGAGATAAATTCATATACAGATTCCAACATATTTTCTGAAGACAACTCATTTTGTTTTAGTTTGTACTTCTATGATTTACAAAGCATACTGCATACGGTGCATATCTGTTTTAAGTTGTTCCCCAAAGGCACTTGGTGCCATATCAATTTTTCTCCCCCATTCTCTTCTCCAGGGATCTGCTAAGCTAGAAAAAGCCGAAATTCTGCAGATGACAGTGGATCACCTGAAAATGCTGCACACTGCAGGAGGGAAAGGTACATATCACTAATCTGGTGGCGGCCGAGTGCTCTGGGTAGAATGAGTAGATGCGGCAGGCCAGCCCTGGTGCAGTCGCTGCCTTATTTTTCCTGTGTGCTTTGGGGGTGGGGAGAGAATGTTGTGTTGTGTACAGTTGTCAGTGCATTTGCAAATGCACATAGGATTTTCTCCAGTGAATGCATCACCCCAGTCCTCTTCGAACTAAGCTAATGCACCTTCTTTTGGAGAATACCTCTTATCTGCGAGGTGCCCGAAAGCTGTGACAGCCCTGATTAAAATCAGGTAGCTCTCACCACATTTGTTGATTGCCATTTTGAGAAAAAGCCTTAAAAAAAAAAAAAAAAAAGTTATGGTCTTAATTTTATCTACAGGATTGAAAAAAAAAAAAAGCTCCTATGACTCTTGAGGAAAGAAACCTGTTGTGGTTAATTAGAGAAAACCTAACAGAAGGTGGGAGACCAGGGTCTGTGTGTCTGTCTCCAGCCGGAAAATGCTTTGCTCAGGACCAAGTGGCTAAAAGCTCCATGATGATAACTTACATCTGTGTGTCTAATGAATTTCACTGCTCTGTGGTTTCTCTGTCCTTGATGTATTTTTTGTTGTTGTTGGGGGAAAACATTAAAGGAATGAACATAGTTTCATCTGCTGGTAGGGTATAATTCCACTTTATGCTCAGCAGTTTCTAATTGGGCTTTGAACTTACATTAGCAAACACTTCTCATGTTGATTAATGCAAAGACTTCGGTCAACTCCAAAATATTTGGACCTTCGTTAAGAGCCCGTGTATGCCGTTTTTAAGGATGTAGGTATTTGTTAGGAAGGGCTGCCTTTGGTATTGAAGAAATGCGGGAAATCAGCAAAGCCTGAGGTTTTTCTTTTGTTCTTTTCCTCAGGCTATTTTGACGCACACGCCCTGGCTATGGACTATCGGAGTTTGGGGTTTCGGGAGTGCCTGGCGGAAGTTGCCCGTTATCTGAGCATCATTGAAGGACTAGATGCCTCTGACCCGCTTCGAGTTCGACTGGTCTCACATCTTAACAACTACGCCTCCCAGCGGGAAGCGGCCAGCGGCGCCCACGCAGGTCTTGGACACATTCCCTGGGGCAGCGCCTTCGGACATCACCCGCACGTCGCGCACCCCCTGCTGCTGCCCCAGAACGGCCACGGGAACACTGGAACCACCGCCTCGCCCACGGAACCACACCGCCAGGGCAGGTTGACCTCGGCACATCCGGAGGCGCCCGCTTTGCGTGCGCCCCCTAGCGGCGGCCTCGGACCGGTGCTCCCTGTGGTCACCTCTGCCTCCAAACTCTCTCCGCCCCTGCTCTCCTCCGTGGCTTCCCTGTCGGCCTTCCCCTTCTCCTTTGGCTCCTTTCACTTACTGTCTCCCAATGCACTGAGCCCTTCGGCACCCACGCAGGCGGCAAACCTTGGCAAGCCCTATAGACCTTGGGGGACAGAGATTGGAGCTTTTTAAAGAACTGATGCTGTAGAATGAGGGAGGGGAACACTCACAATCCCAGCTGAGCTGGGCTGTTGCCAACATCACCTTAAAGTCGTCAGTAAAAGTAAAAAGGAAAAAGGTACACTTTCAGAGGAATTTTGTTGAAAGACTAAAGGTTTGTTGGTTTACTTTTCTTTTTTTTAATGTTTTTTTTTATCATATGTATTAGCAGTTTTTAAAAACTAGTTGTTAAATTTTGTTCCAAACATTAAATTGAAATAGTGAGTATAAACCAGCACTTGGTAATAGGTTTGTTCTGTGCCTAATTACTTTGTAAACCTCTCTGTCGAAGAATGATTCCATTTTTGCCTCCGAGTTTTGGGAATTTTAACATTTAGTATTTTGGTCTGCTTTTCTTCTTGTGTAGTTGAAGTCTGTTTTTAGATTTAATTTTCCAAACCACTAAGTTCAATGTTAACGTGATGCTATTTGTTAGTAGTTTGACAATTAAGGTGTTGTATAGGTAATATTCTTCTGTGGGGGGAACTATGTTGAATTTTATATTTCTGAACAAAGCGTTGACAAATCAGATGATCAATCAGCTTTATCCAAGAAAGAAGATGAGTTCATTCTCTGCCTCCTGCAGCAGTAACGTGAATGTATAACCCATCAGGGGCCCTGAGTTCATATGACCACCTTCCAGGACTGCAGTTCAGGCTTAGTTAGGAGAGAGCCACTTGGGGGTTGATCTCCATTTGGAGTTGGTGGGGAGGAGACTGCATAGGATATGCCTGCATTTACCAGCCCCACGCAATGCAATGAATTTTTAATCTCCCGGATCTCAAATTCACAAACATTAACATGGATAAATGATCACGGTGTGCAAGTGGTCCAATCGAATAGTCCAGTGGGACCTGTTATAAATGCATAACCTAATTCTTCCTGAAACTGCTATGTTTTCTTTTAACTGGAAATCTTTATGTTGTGTTTTCCTTTTTGGTGCATGGCAACGTGGTTCTTGAGGTATTTAAAAAGGTGTGCTGCCTTCTTTTGGTTTAATTTGGTTCATAAAAGCATCAGTTCACAGGTTTATCCTTTTAGCAGGTGTAATTTAAACGACCTCCACTGAACTGGGTTTGACCTCTGTTGTACCGATGTGTTGTGACTAAATAAAAAAGGAAGAACAAACTATTCTGTATATGTCTTACATGCCTTGGCCTTTCCCTCTGTTGGCTAAAAGAAGATAAATTTTCCTCTCATTTTCATTTTGCTTGGTTACCAGTTTTCTTCTTCATTACTTTGGGAATTCTAAACTGTGTGAATTTGCTACTGAATA